ATGTCTTTTCTAGTTAAGGCCCACCATAGGACTTCTCGAGGTACCATATCATATGCCTTTTCTAAGTTAATGAATACCAAATGCAGATCCTTTTTAGTGTCTCTATACTTCTCCATAACTTGTCTAAGAAAGTGAATGACCTCAGCTGTTGAGCGTCCAAGCATAAAAACAAAATTTTCACACTTTTACAAAGCAGATATCATTGATGCTCACTATTAGACTCTTAATACTCAAAAGAAGAGGCTCGGTGCTCATCAAAATTGATTCAATGCTGATTTAAAGAGAATCTGTTATTTTCACCAAAATTACAAGTTTGCCACCGGCTACGGTTGGCATCGTACAACCGGTTGTACCATATACGCTTTCGTTCCTCTCCCATCCGTAGAATGGCTGAGATTCAAAAGTGGCATCCCCAAGTCACCGCCTCATTGCTGATGTTGTACTTTCTCGTTGCCCCATGCAAAGTCAGAATTAATCTTGTGCATTCATATTCAGATCTAATGGCTCAAAATGAGCCAAAATGCAGTAAATTTGATTTAAAACGCAGTGACAATTTCGTAAATAAACTGGAGTTTTCTGCCACCGCGAAAATGTGCAACAGAAACATGAAATAGTGCAACATGATGAGGAAAAAATGTAATCATTCATTCGCACTTTGCATGGGAGCACCTCTTTTTATTTGAATTCTTCCTTTTTTTAACCCCCGGAAAGGAAACCACCAAAATCAGTGAGGTAAATTCCAGGGGACATTTACCATATTTTATTAAATCAAAGAAAAGAACAAGTTTCGGGGGGGGGGGGGGGGGGGGGGGGGGGGGGAGACCAAACTCGAAAAAACATCAAAACAAAACAATTTAGCTCTAAAAGAAGGAATGCCAAAATAATCCATCCAATAACATCTTTTAACAAAAATAGGAAGAGAATCCACTCTAGAAAATGTTTTTGGACGATCCACATTCTCCTGGGCCAAAAAATGAGCAGCCCAATTCCCTTCTCGCTTCACATGTCCAAAAGCCAGATGTTTCCTAATCCGGATCTGTGTGATTTCCTGAAGCTCTGTGGACCATCTTCTTCCTTCTCTCCCTGCGATATACTCCAGCACTACCAGAGAATATGACTCAACCTGGAATTCCTTATATCCTCCGTCCACTGCCCACCTCATAGCCACAAAAATAGCCTGAATCTCCACATCCAAAGAAGAAGTTGTTGTCAAAGGGAAGCTAATAGCTGAAACGAAGCCACCATCACCATTTCGTAGAATTGCTCCATCACAAGCCCTTCCAGATAAGTAACTTGCATCCACATTTAATTTCCATTTCATGCGTGGTCTGCTCCATCTGATTATTTGTGGCTTGAAACCATGTGATCTGAAATTTCTTGGTATGAGAGCCTCTTCGAACAATATGTTTCCAATCACCCTGATTTTAGTTGTAGGGATACTAGCAACCCAATTTTGTGTATATAATTTAATTTGCACAATGATTTGCTCAGAGTCAGGAACCTTTCCTCTAGATCCCCAAATTAGGTTTGCATAATTTTTCCAAATTATCCAGCAAATAAATCCTGGTATGTGTCTTTTGAAAACAGAAATCATGTTATTCCCTGAGCATCCTTGGATCCAATAACGAAAGTGACCATAGTTCACACCAGGTCTTTGATAAATTCCAAATGTACTTATAAAATACTCCCAAACTTTGGTAACCACCGGGCATTAAAAAAATATATGTTTCACAGTCTCACTGCTGGCTTTACACAGAGGGCACATAAAAGGGTTAAGAACAAGCTGAAATCTGATTAAATTATCTGAAGTAGGCAGAATGCCTTTGACCATTTTCCAAAGGAGTAATTTAACTTTGAGCTCATGTTTGGTCTCCCAGATATCTAAATAAGCCTGAGAGCTAAAAGATAACTCTCTGACCTCCTCAAAAGCTGATTTAAAGCTCATGTAGTAGAGTTCTGAAGCTTGATCATTAGCTGAACATATCCTCTTCCATATAGCTGAATCGGTAAGTTTAGGAACCATACACCCATCCCTATCATATTTTGCTTTCATTACTTGATTCCACAGAGCATCACCTGACTTCCACTTCCACCAAAGTTTAAGTGTAAAAGCCTTCTCAATATCAGATAAAAATCTAATCCCTAGTCCTCCTTCTTCAGTAGGATAACAAAGTTTTCTCCAAGATATCCAATGATATTTCTTTTTCTCAGAAGAAGGACCCCAGAAAAGGATGGCATTTTATTATTGAGAATCTTAATAACCTTCTTAGGTAAAGTATCCACAGCTAAAATGTGAAGAGGAATGGAATTGAGAACATATTTAATAAGAATAGGCCTTCCTCCTTGAGAAAGAATTTTCTGTTTCCAAGGAGTTAGTTTATTCTCAAACTGTTTGATAATGCTTCCACAGTAATCAGTTCTGTTGATACCTTTGTGCAGGTTTACTCCTAGATATTTGATGGGAAGAGAAGAAAGATTCATCCTCAGGAGGTCCTTGATCTTGGCATGCTTCCCAGGAGGTGCTTTCCCACAAATGATAGAACATTTGGACAAGTTAACAATCTGCCCTGAAGCTTCTTGATATGTATTCAAAATATTCTTAAAATTCAATAAAGATCTTGCATCTCCATTCATAAAAATTAAAAGATCATCTACAAACCCAAGATGAGAAACTGACATGCCTTCAAATCTTGTCCAGTAGAGTTTAATTTTGTCATTCTCCATCAACCAATTTAAACCTCTTGAAAAAAACTCTGAGGCAATAATAAACAAAAATGGTGAGAGGGGGTCCCCCTGCTTAACAGCTCTAGAAGGCTTGAAGAAACCTTGAGGTGCACCATTAATCAGAACTGATTAATAAAAAGCCTCCAAATTATTCATAATAAGTGAATAAAATGAGCTGAAAAACCAAACTTAGACAAGATGGCGCCAAAAAATTCCCAAGAGACACTGTCAAAAGCCTTGGCCATATCAAGTTTACTAATCAAATTACTCCCAACCTTCTTATCAATATAATGCACCAACTCCTGGGCAATCAGAACCTGGTCAGCTCATTCTCTGCCTGCCATGAAACTAGCCTGTTCTTGTGATACAATCTTAGGAAGAATCACCTTTAATCTAGTAGCCATGACTTTAGTGCATATCTTACAAATGAATTGAAGTTAGATAGAAAAATTGGCCTAAACTCACTGAAAGTAGAGGGTCTATCAGATTTAGGTATAAGAATAAGAAGTGCACTAGCCATTCCTTGAGGTATAGGAGTTCCCAAATAAAAGTCTTGAACAGCCCTAACAACATCCATACCCACAATATCCTAATACTTCTTAAAAAACTTCCCATGATAGCCATCAGGTCCAGGTGCACTATTTGGATCTAAATCCCAAACTGCTTGCTTAACCTCCTCCATGTTAGGCATATTAATAAGGTAATTGTTGTCTTCTTGAGTAACTAACTGAGGGATGTAATTAAGAATATTGTGGTTTGCAGTTTGATCATCTTTCATATCAGGTGATGTGTAGAGATCAGCAAAAAAGTGAACTGCAGCTTCTCCAATGAGAGGTGTAGTCTGAACCTCCTGGCCAGCCTGATTTTTAATAGAGGTAATACTCTGCCTCCTTTTCCTAATATTCAAAAAAGAATGGAAAATTTTTGTATTGCTATCTCCCTCTTTTAACCAGCGAATATGGGCTTTTTGCTTCCAAAACTTCTTCTCAAGCTTAAGTTTACTCATCAATGAGCTTTTTTGTAGTACCAATTTTCCCTATTCTGATCACAAGGATTTTCCTCATAATTCTGTTCAGCTTGTAAAACCTCTTCTTCACAAAGTTTAATAACTTCAAAAATATTCCAAAAAGATTCTTTGTTCCAAATCTTAAACTCCTTCTTAAGATTTTTCAATCTGGAAACTAATCCCCTCATACCTCTCTGATGGCCCACAGAATTCCACTTGGATTTAATTAAATCCATACAAGATTGATTGCCCAACCACATATTTTGAAATTTGAAGCTTGTAGGACCAGACTCATTGATTTGAGACCACTAAACCAAAATAGGATTATGATCTGAAGGAGTTTTATTCAATAAGGAAACTTTGATATTCTCAAATTTGTCCAAAAAGATATTATTGAATAAAACTCTGTCTAACCTCCTCCAAACTTTTCCACTAGATTCTACTCTGATATTCTTCCCCATCAGAGTAGCACTCTTTGATGATCTCTGGTACATTATCTTCAAGGACCTTGGAATTAATATGTGTGTCATCCTGTATACCCCTTATCCCCTTAGGATTAGAATTATTAATTCCTGGAATATCAGCCTCAAGCAATAATCTGTTTTGGTTTTTAACCTCTTCTGCAGGTTGCTCTAAGGAATCAAGAATCACGCCTCAACTTCATTTGCATCCACTAAAATAACTGGCACCAAATTGACCTGAGATGTTGATTGTTTATTGAAATTTGGCTGCTCAATGATTTTTTCTTTGCCTTTCTCCTGCCTTGTAAACTTAACTACTTTTGTAGTTTTTTTTTTTTTTGAACACATCTTTCTTTTGGAGATCAATAACCTGATTTGTGTGTTTTTTAGGACATTTATTTTGGGAATGGCCTAAATGAAAATAAGCTAAACAGTACTCTGGCCTATTTTCATAAGCCACCGGCCGAGAAAAGCCATTGTCACCACAATTGATCCAAACCTTCAAAGGCATCTCCTTTGTAAGGTCAATTTCAGCAAACACGCATGCCACAACATGCCTAGATAAATTAGTCGTTGCTTCATCTAGCTTTAAGGGCTTCCCAATTAAGCTAACAATCTCAAAAAGAGCAGATTTGTCCTGTAAATGAATTGGTAACCCTTCCAAAGCAATCCACACCGGGACAACCGGAGATTCGATATTCGGTTGAAATTCCGGGGTCCATTTGATGACCCTCATCACATGCCCCTGAATTACGATGGCATTTTTGTAATTACGATGGAGAGCTTTATAAGTTATGATTTATTGGTTTTTTTTAACTCGGTAGGCAAACCACCAAAATCAGTGGGGCAAACGCCGGTAAACATTTGTCGTGTTTTATTAGAAAAGAATAATCGTACAAAGAGAGAAGGGGACTAGACCAAAACCTCTCCCGAAGAAATCAAACAACCTGAAAAGGTAAAAACAAATAAGACCCGAGTACTACAAGAGACAATCGCAGAAGGAAGATTAAAAACCAACTCGAAGGGACGGAAGCCCAACAAGATCCATCAAATACGCATTCCGGGTCTGGGGTGGTAACTCAGCATCTCTGTAATAAAAAATGGGCCGATCTGTTGGGACATTTGCTAAGAAGTGTGCAGCTCAATTCGCTTCCCTCAAAACGTCGAAATAGGAAACTCCCCTCATTTCGGACAGAGCCAACAAATTCCTGATTTCATCGCTCCATCTTCCTCCACCCTTCCTGCTGAGATAATCCAGCACCTCCTTCGAATCCATTTCCACACAAAAGTCTCTAAAACCAGCCTCCATCGCCCAAGCAGTCGCATGTTTCACAAAGAGAAGTTCTGCCTCAAAGACGGAAAAAGCTTGAACCGGATAGGAAGTCGCAATCACCAACCTACCTTCGCTGTTCCTCAAGATAGCACCTCCTGCCACTCGTTGAGGTGAGAAACTCGCATCCACATTTAATTTCAAGAAACGCTCAGGTTTCCTCCAACCAATAATTCTTACTGAGGGACGAGGGGGTCGAAAAGACCTATCAATCAGATTTTCTTCATATAGAATATCTCCCACCTGATTACTCTTAATAGAAGAGAAGCTTGAAACCCAATTTTGAGTAAAAAGCTTAATTTGAAAAATTAGTGAAGCAGACGTAGGAGCGGCACCATCAGAACCCCAAATCAAACTGACATATGATTTCCAGATTTGCCAACAGATAATACCTGGGAGACAATATTTAAAAGTATCCTCCAATTTCTTAGAACCTGCCTTAAGCCACCAAGAGATAAAAATTTGCCTAATGGAGAAAGTTTGATGAAGTAGAGGAACTCCAAAAATTCCGATGAAGTAGTCCCAAATTGGCTTTACTTTAGCACAACCAAAGAACACATGATTAACTGAATAAGTATGAGCCCTACAAAGTGGACAGATTGAGATTACTTCTCACTTCTCATTTTAAGGGGAACTTCTCTCTCTCCCCGTCCCCCTCTCCCCCCCTCCCTCCCTCCCTCCCTGTCTCCCCTCTCTCTCCCCCTCTCTCTCTTCCCCTCTCGCCCCCTCTCCCTCTCGCCCCCCTCTCCCTCCCCCCCCCCCCCCTCCCCCTCCTCCCTCCCCCCCCCCCCTCTCTCTCTCTCTCTCTCTCTCTCTATATATATATATATATATATATATATATATATATATATATATATATGTATGTATATGTATATATATATAGGAATGATCCTGTCCAGCCGCCCCCGGTCCGAACACCGTCCGAACATCGCCATTTGAGCACTTCCCGGTGGAATTTTTTGATGAGATGTGTTGAGCATGTTCCTCATCAAATCTAGTTTATCCATACCAAATTTCAGCTCAAAATTCGATCGGGAAGGAATTTAAATAATTTGTTGAAGTTAACTACGCGAAATTATACATAGAAAAACGCAGTTAACTTCAACGAATTATTTGACTACCTTCCCGATTGAATTTTTAGCTGAAATTTGGTATGGATAAACTAGACTTGATGGGGAACATGCTCAAAAAAATTCATCAAAAAATTCCACCAGAAAGTGCCCTAAATTGCGATGTTCGGACGGTGTTCGGACCTGGGGCTGCTGGACAGGATCATTCCTGTATATTTTCCGATCTGGACCGGAAAATGAGTTTGGTGTTGAGGGCAGTTCTATTATTATTCCACGCGGTAGGAAGGGCACGGGTTTTCATCGTTTCCGCTCTATTTTATTTAATTCGCATGATACTATGAAAGAGAGTAAGAAACGAACATTAGAACACTACTAGAAAAAGTGCGTTTTGCAACGAAGTTATGCAATAGACTGGTCTCCGTTGCAATAATGTGATCCAAATGTATATATATACCGTGAAAATATATATATATATACATTTGGATCACATTATTGCAACGGAGACCAGTCTATTGCATAACTTCGTTGCAAAACGCACTTTTTGCGTGTGATGGTTACGCAAATGTATATTCGATATATATCCTTGATCCAAATGTATAATACCGTGAGTATTATAGATTTTGATCTTATATCTCCTATTATGGAGATGATTTTGCGTGTGATGGTTTTTTTCTCAAAACCACTTAACCCAGTATATATATATATATATATATATATATATATATATATATATATATATATATATATTCGATATATATCCTTGATCCAAATGTATAATACCGTGAGTATTATAGATTTTGATCTTATATCTCCTATTATGGAGATGATTTTGCGTGTGATGGTTTTTTTCTCAAAACAAATTTCAACCACAAAATTGTCCTTAATTACATGTACGGTATAGTGCACAGCCATGAGTGAGATCCAATGATATTGTTTAATGAAAGGATACTACCCTAAATCGTAACGCGTAAGGCATGGTTTTAAGTTTACAGATTCTTTAGAAGTCATTGACAAATCTGAATCCATAGCAAACACCGTATGTTTTTCACACATGAAGTTGACACACTGAAAGAATATGTTTTACCTTCATTATTATACTCTCATCATTCTGCTATTGGAAAAGTAGATCCAATTCTATTTCCCAAGTGATAGCATTTGATATTAACAGAGTAGGGCCCGAGCTCAATGTGGTTGTCTTCCCCTCCCACCAAGAAACACAGAGTATAGATTGCTAGTTCAAACTCTGGGCTCACTCCAACCAGAGTGCTCGACACGGATTTTAGTATGCCGTTCCATTCGAACTGGATTGTGAGTAACTGAGTCTCTGCGTCAGGCTGTCATTGAAGATTGTGAGATTGAAAAAACCACGCAACCTTATTAATGTATGCTCCCTCCAATTTTTTCAATATTCTTCTAAAAAAATTACATTTGAGAACAAATTTTTTCCCATAAACAAAAAGGTAGTTAAAAGAGAACGGATAGACATAAATTTTCTCGGTTTGAAATCTCCCGGGCTAAACTTCCTTTCATCACCCTGTTCAAGTCCCATTTAACCCTGTGCGTAACCCCTCCCCTCTATGCTGTAGGCCTCAGTCTTCTTTTAGAACAATGATATGTTGTACTACACTATCATGTCACATGATCTTTGTTGGATATTATACAACTAATTTTGCAATGAGACACGACTAGACTTTTGCAGTTAACTTTCTGAACTCAATGCGGCGTGAGGGTGTTTTCCATACTAGTAGAAAGAACATATGTTGATGGCAGTTTTGTAGTTTTATAGCATTACTACTTCAGAACATTGCACAAAGGGTAACTGGTGTAAAAAAATGTGGGGAGAACTATCAAATAAGCTCTCGAACTTTCATAAAAAGTGCAAATAAGCCCTTTTACAGGAGGCTTTGTCCGGCTGTCCCCATTTGGGGTGGTTTCCGGTGGATTTTTTTGATGAAATTTTTTTAGCATCTTCTTCGTTAAGTCTAGTTTACTCATACCAAATTTCAGCTAAAAATTCAATCGAGAAGACAGCCAAATGATTTTCTGAAATATACTGCGCTGCCTAACTGCGCAGTTATCTTCAAAAATTCATTTGACTGCCTTCTCGATTGCATTTTTAGATGAAATTTGGTATGAGTAAACTAGACTTAATTAAGAAGATGCTAAAAAAAATTCATCAAAAAATTCCACCAGAAACCGTTCCAAATGGCGACGGCCGGACAGAGCCTCCTATAAAAGGGCTTATTTGCACTTTTTGTGAAAGTTCGAGGGCTTATTTGGTAGTTCTCCCAAAAAATGTGCTATTTTATGATGGTGCCTCCAACATTGTTGGGATTCAGCCGCAGTGGAGATCAGAAAGTAATAGTTTTTTTCCTAGATTCGTATCATGTTAAGCCAATATCCTAAATCATATGCTTTAACTATATGCTGGAGCTATAATTTGTTAGTTTGCCTGATTTAATTTAATTCATATGACCTTAATACTTAATAGTAGGGAAAGGCTATGTGGCAGCAAGTAATTGTACTTCATTTTTTAATTAAAAATGAAGAAGTTCGAAGTCCATGTTGGGAGATCATGTTTCATCTAAGCTCCTCTTTGGATCGAGGGTTTTTGGAGGGTTGGTATGGAAAGGTTTTAATACAAAAGAATGATATTCTATGTGACATTTCAATCACCTTTTAAAGTATATTTCATTTATCAAGAGACAGATTAATCACTGGAAAGTCCTCTCCACCAGAACCCTTCATCCAAACAGAAACATGGAAGGGATATTGGAAATCCTGGTTTCCAATAGAAACTCACTACGTCGCAGAGTGAATCATTTAAAAAAAGATCACCTACAATTTCTCCCCGCCTTCGAGGAAAGATGTATCCTTGATAATCTACGTTGCCCTTCACTTCTTCGAGATAAAACTGAAAGTAACAGAAGGAATATGGTCGGTCCTCATTTATGTACAGAGAGAATATGGTTTCCAATAAAGGTTGGATCACCACTTATTCTGAGAGAGAGATGAATACGGTTGGAGTCATAATAACAGTGGAATTTTTTTAATTTTACCTGAAGCCAATTATGGAAACCTGAAACTTCTCCCTCTCCACGCTCCTTTATTTCTCCAACAAAAACATGCTCGAAAGCTGAAGAAGAGCCAGATGTACCGCCTCGGGCATAAAGGTCAAACCAGAGACTCTTCAACATTCTCTTGAACTCCTGTTGACTTTCAGAAACCACACTCTTTGCTGACAGATAGTTATGTAAATATTTTATAGGTGCTGTTCTACTGATCTCCTCAATGAATGCCAACTGCTCTTGGTGTTCTTTAGTTGTTACAACTTCTTTATATCCATCACGTGGGTTGTAATTATCCAAAAGACAACAAAACCGAGAATAAGTGGGCTTCTCCATAACATCTTTGCTCATCCAGGAAAACAAGCACCCATCCGCCATGTCCTCTCTTTGGTGGACCTTTTTTCCATCCCCTACATCAATCTGGTAATCTTTTCCAGGAACTAAACGATTTAAATCTAGTTCCCAGAGTTTGTTACAAGCTTTTGATATGTTAGCAAGCTCTTCTCCTGATGGATTCATGTCAGCACCACATTTAACCTCATCAGAGTAGTCTTGCTCAACAGCAGGCTTCATGTAACTATCCCAATGATGCATATGCACCTGTTTGGGAACATTGAAGTTTAATGAGAGATTAGAAGTAAATGGAATTATCTAAAGTAAGTGTATTTTATACTATTAAAGTTTGAGAACTCATCACCAATGAGCATTTTATATGCAAAAGCATCTTATATACGCAGTTGTGGTCCCCGAGAAGCATCACTATGCAAAAACCATTACCAATTTACCAAACTTGAGATACAACAACAACAATAACATTACCCCATGATGAAAATTGCAGGGGAAGTCAGATGTACGCACCCTTACTTACCCCTAGAGAGACATATGATGAAAATCTGGTCGAGATTTGCATGGACTGACTGATGTTTCATAATCAAGAAGCGTACATAATTTATTGAGTCATTTTGATTTATTCCATCATGTTCTCAGGCCAAAAAATAGTGAGTCTTTGTCACCATTGGAAGCGATGGAATTAACTACCAAACATGAGATACAACAACAACAACAACAACAACATCCAAGCCTTAGTCCCAAAAGATATTAGGGTCGGCTAACATGAATCGATACATGATATCACCACCAAAAGGAAAAGAAAGAAAATAAAGATAAAAAAGATAAGCTATTATAAAAAGATAATATAAAAAGAGATGAATATACATAAAAATGATAAAATAAAAAGGATACAAATAGCTCCATACTTTATAGCCTATAAAAACTTGAGATAGATCCAAAAAATTGTTTAACCATTCCTAGTGACTCAATTTAATAGCTCAATACTTTATAGCCTATAAAAACTTCAGTAGTTCAGTAAGAAGAACTCTATATAGCTGGGCAACAATGAAGAAATGCAAACGGTATAAGAACTCTTTATAGGTTATTCCTATAAAAGATTCACATTACATATTCCAAACCAAGATTTTTTTGGCTCCGTAAACATTTTTTAAAGAGAAATTTATCCTAATTATGACTAAAACTCCCCCACATTCTCAACCTATGAATTAACTATTTTTTTCCCAAAATAATATTTAAATTTGTATTATTTAATTAATTTCTTAATTAATAATTAAATAATTAATTTTTATGGACTAATATACCCTTTAAGTTATGCTTATAAAACGCTAACCTCCTACTCCTTTTCTCCAACTTTAGCCTCTAGCATCCTATTGCCCGCGCACAGCCGTCTGCCGCTGCCGCCCAGCTGCCGCCCCACTGCCGCCCCGCCGCTGCCCCGCAATACCGCTGCCCCCTCGCGGTATGGCCGCTTGCTCTCCATCTCTTTCCAGCCACACAGTCACATGCTCGCCTCCTTCGTCCGGCCCACGCTCGCCGCCACTGCCATCCATCCTGCGCTTGCCGCCGCCATCCCGCACAAACGGTCGCCTCCTTGTTGCATCCGTCGCCTGCCGCTAGAGATTAAGTTTTGTGGGTCCTTCTATCTAATGAAATTAGAGTTGGTAATTAATGTTCTCAAAGAATGGCGTTGGACCGCCGCTCTAACAACTCAGATTCTTTAGCCAAGGTGGCCAAGGTTGAAGGCGAACTTGTGGTTGAAGATGAATGATAAGTCCGTATTCAAACACGCATTTGATGCATGTTTAGATCAACTTTTGATGGTTTCACTAATTATTTGGTGTCACAAGTCTCATTTTTAGCTCAAGTCATAGTTACCGGGTGATGGTTCGAGTTTTGTATCGTTTGGAGTCAAAATCAGGGATTTGAGCCCAGCACCAGCGCTTGAGAAGCAATCGGGATGATTGGAGATGCATTTGAGAATGAATCGAGAGTTTTAGAGGTCACCGCGAAGTTTACGACGAATTTTTGACGACAAGAGAACTCTAGAGGTGACTACGAGATCAAATGAAGACGAATAGAGCTTGAAAACGGCGTTCAGGATGACCTTTTGTCAATCGTTCAAGCATATCTTTTTGTAGATACATCCCAAGGACACAATTCAAGTTCCATATAAAATATAACGTCAAGGGCTACAAATCATAATAAGACTCCATTACGAGAATCTCAGAGGGAAAAGGTGAAAACAGATGATGAAGTCAGATAATCGTTGTTGAGATTTCAGAATGAGACCTTCCACCATTTTAATCATATCTTTTGATTGGATGATTCAAATCCAGTTTTGCAAGTTGTGTTGGATAGAGGATTTCATTATCTACAACTTTCATGAAGGAAGCATCGTCAAATTCGGAGAGGAAACAATGCTAGAGCTGCTGCCAGTTAGGCACGGCGTGCCTGACGTGGGACGCGTTTTTTACTCCGCAGGCACGGTCGTGCCTGGCGCCGTGCCTGACCCCGAATCTCCCAATTCAGCTCAAATTTCATCCGTTTTTTCCTATTTAAACAGCTTGTTAACCCCTGCTTTGGGACGGAGCTTAGAGCCTAGGGATGAAATTTTTTCTACTTGGATTACTTGTAAGTTCCTACTTTTTAATTGATGATAATTAATTTTGTTCATCCCAATTCTATTGATTCTTCAATTATGAGTTGTGAATAGTTTTAATTAGGGATTTGGGATTTATGAAGGGATTGATTATGATGTATGGCTAAATCCATGATGGATTAATTGCATGAATGTTATTTAATTTGTGTTTGAATAATTTAATGATTACTCCAGAATCAATCTCTATTCTCTATCGTCATTAATTAGAAAGAACCTATTAGTTTAATTTCTTTATTCGCAATTTAATTTTCCCAATCAATCAAATCTCGCACATCGCATTTATTTTTATTTAGTTTTATCGATGAATTTAATTAATTCTTAATTCCCTTTTGTCCGTCCCTATGGAGACGATACTCATACTTATACTCTATACTACGATCTATTTTAAGTGCGAGAAAACTAACATCAATGAACCCTATGTTGAAGACTATTGAAGACGGTGTGCAATGAATAATTTGTATTTAATGTCGTGAATATCACAAAAAGTGCAGTGATTATGACAAGAAGTGCAATGATATGATCATGAATAATGTGTTTATGACAAGAAGTGTAATAATGTATAGCATTAACATGGTTTTGGAGAAGATGGTTTTGACTCCATCAAAATTGAATCCAAACTGTTCAGGTTTGCGGTCAGGGATAATGAAATTGAAATTTTTGACATGCAAAAATCCGTACTAAGAAGGATCAATTTCAAAAAATTCGATGCTCCAAAAATGTACAGCTGCATTTTACAAATCACAGGCCCAAGTAATGACAATTACAGACAGAGCAGAAAAGTTGGGAATCTCACAATCTCTACTCAAATTAACAAATCCGGGTCTAGTCTGAAGATTTCTAAAGCACGTGGAACCTCCATTGAAGTCCTCATGGGTCCCCTCAATTCCAATCTCAAAGACTTTTTGTCATTATTCTCTAATTTTGCAAAATTATCTTCTGAGCAGGAGGAAATCTGGCATGGGGAGCACATTCCGGGTGACTCCGAGGAAATCACCATTTCCAAACTCATTTTTAACTATGAAGTACAGAGGGCATTCGGGGATGTGTCAAAAAAGCAGAGATATTGCGCAGAGGAGCTTGATCCCTATGCCCCTACAGGATTAATTGCTGATATCGGCAACACAGTGACAAAAGCGCTCCAAGATGTCTCCACAGAAGGATTGAAAACTAGGAGCCAGTCAAAAACGCTCCAAGATGATGAGGACTATTTCATCTACCCGGTTTACTCAAACTACGATTCACCCCAAAAACTAGTAACTTGTCTGGAACGCTATAAGTCATCACACCCAGACGCAAAGTCTTACCCCCCCTTAATCTCCAAAGGGCTATCCAATTTCACCTCAAATACAATCGGCAACTCTCCACCACTGTAGGTGTGCCTACAACATATGTTATTGGTTAACTTTTTTTTCTTGCGACTTTCTCCTGTATTTTCCTTTATCGATCTTTGTACTTGCAATCCTATTTTCTAATAAATTGGAAAGTGTTTCTCGGCGCTTTCCCCACTTTCAGTGGAATTTCCGGAAAAAAAAAAGTATAGCATTAACATGACATAAAGTGCAGTTAACAAATCTAAAAAGAAAAAAAGAATTATAAAATCCTTTTGTAATGTCATGTCATTGTAGGGTGTGTTCTCGAAAACAAAGAAAACTAATTAATTAAAATTAATTAAAATAACAAAAACAAAACAGAAAAGAGATGGAACATAAAATAGTCAAAGCTTGTGCTACGCACAATATCCTTAAAACGTATTCGTTGTCTCCCAAGGTGCTAGGAACGTTGCAATGATCGTTTCCCAGGATACGATGACTACGAATAATTCTTGAGCACTCAACTGATTGTTCTGACGAACGGAAACAAGCAAGAACACTTAGGAATTTTTTCAGAGACTGAAGGTGGTTTTTAGCTGAAGAGTACATGCAGATTGTGTATGAGTGTGTGTGGTGTTGCAAAGCACCTGCCAGCTATTTATATGAATGATTTGTTGTGTGTTAATGGAGAGTTAATGGACCTGAACGTTCGACATCAATGACAAGACCGTTGGACATTGAATTGTTCATGATATATCCATTTAACACTACAGAACGTTGGACATTTACTGCTCATAACGTTTCAGAAGAGTCCTGTCAGGAGCCTTCTGATTCGGATCATAAGCGTTCTGATCTGAAGCCTTCTGATGCGGATCAGAAGGGTATGGTCAGAGCAGTCTGATGCGGAAAAAGAAAAAAAACGATACGGGAACAAACAAAAATTAAATTGTATCTTTGAAAGATAGATTTTCGGACGACATTCGTATTCGTAGGTCACCAGCGCATGCAAGTCGCGGTTTTTCTTCTCCGTTTTCGGGATTTGATCGGCACCCCCCGCGCGCGAAGAGAATCTTTCCACCTAAGAATTTAACTCCTTCAAAGAGAGTTCCCTTTATAAGGGGGTGAAAATCTCTTGAGTTTTCCGGTGTGGAAAATATTACAGTAGAAACTCATCATTTTCCCAGTTTTTCCGTTTCAACAAGTGAACTTCGAAATCAATTTCTCATTCACCCGTTATCCATTCTGAGTGTACCATATATCGAATTGTAGCCCTTACCAAGGGGAATTCAAAATCACTTTAACCCAACCCAAATCGGAAGTGGACCCCACTCAAAGTATTGCCCCAAATTGGTCATTTAATGCAATTTTTAACAGATTTTTCCAACAGTCATAACTCTGCATGGAGTGCATAATATTTAATTAAACATAAAAGCTAAAGTTATCGATACAAAAACAAACGATAAACCGAAGTGCCATAACTTAAGTGCATGAAGTGCATGATATGTCGTGTGGTGAACGCCGCCATAAAGTGCAGTAAATGTCATGCAATAACGTCTGCATAAAGTGCAGAAATTTTACTCAGACGAAAGTAGTGGAAAATGCATCTTTTTTAATTAAAGGATATTTTCATCCTTCTACATTATAATATAACGAGTTTTTAGTCATATTTCGGGACAAAAATAAAGATAATCATATTTCGGGAAACTTGACATTTTTCATCACATCATGGGAAATTTCCCTTTTTAAAATTGTAAAACATTAATTTGACTACAATATCAATATATAAAAATAAAAAAATAATTTAACACTTTGAAAATGTCTTTTTTATAAATGCTACGGAGTATATCTTTTTTATTTGTACTCCGATTGTTACAAAAAATATATCTAAATTCATAGCTCTTTCTTATCTTTTATAAGACACTAATTTTGAAGATATAAGAATTAAAAAATTAATTATATTTATTTATGAAGTTTATGATCGTTTTTTACTATGCACACAATTAATCAGGAATGATAGTTTATAATAAAACTGCACGAAGAATAAAACAATAAATAAAAGTGATGAAGTTTATGCAATTTTAGTTTAAGTTGTCGCTCTTGATTAATTATTTCCACGATAAAAATCGATTATATATTGCACAAATCAATAGAATTAATTTTGTACTCCGATTGTTACAAAAAAATATATCAAAATTTGCAACTCTTCATTATCTTTCAAAAGACACTAATTTTGAATATATAAACCTTAAAAATTTAATTCTATTGATTTGTGCAATATACTACCTCCGTCCCTTAAAATTTGCCAAAGTTGACCGGCATGGAGAATAATAAAGTAAAAACTGTGTGGTTGAGGTTTGTGCAGAGGAGAGAGAAATAACAGAAACCACAAAAAAAATGATTAAAAGAGAAAGTGACAAAGTTTTGTGGGACATCCAAAAAAGGAAAGATGACAAAGTTTTAAGGGACGGAGGGAGTATAATCGATTTTTATCGTGAAAACAATTAATCAGGAGTGATAGTTTAAAATAGAATTGCATAAACTTCATCACTTTTGTTTATTGTTTTATTCTTTGTGCAATTTTATTATAACCTATCACTCCTGATTAATTGTGTGCATAGTAAAAACCGATCATAAACTTCATAAATTAATATAATTAATTTTTTAATTATTATATCTTCAAAATCAGTGTCTTATAAAAGATAAGAAATAGTTATGAATTTAGATATATTTTTTGTAACAATCGGAGTTCAAATAAAAAAGATATACTCCGTAACATTTATAAAAAAGATATTTTCAAAGTGTTAAATTACTTTTTTATTTTTATATATTGAATATTGGTGTCATATGAAAGATGATAAAAAGTATGAATTTCGATACTTCCTCCGTCCCATATTATCTCCTGATAGTGGGAATGTGTGGTGGAGAGTTGTGCAGAGGAAAGAGAAATGTGTAAGTATGTATAAGAATGGTTGTGAACCACAAATTCTTTGCTAAAAAGGGAAAGAGGAGATAAATTTGGGACAGACCGAAAAGGAAAGTATGAAGATAATTCCAGGACGGAGGGAGTATATTTTTTTGCAAGAATCAAAGCACAAATGAAAAAGTTATACCACTTTTAAATAAATATGGGATTTCATTTTTTGGTGGACCCGGTCTAATATTCTCTTCCTAATGGTGCCTGTTCCTGCGTTAGTTTCTTATGTATAAGCCGCCACTTCAAGTGGCGGCTCTCTTAAATGGGGTTGAGGTAGCGGTATTTTGGAAAATACTTTTAATCTAACTTTATTTTAGTAAATATTTTTTTATTTAACATTATATTAGGAAAAAACTCTTTTATTTGAATATTTTCCACTTTTATTCCAACGGCTATTAGGTCATTCCCCCTTGTGGTCCTTGACATTCATTTGTTCCACTTTTGATGATGGACTGAATTTCGAGCCATTTTTTCCCGAGCATATTGTTCTCAGGCAAAACGCTATATATAAAACTAAAATAGATTCAATCTAGCACCTGAGTAAAAACTAAGTGAGAAGATGATTACAACCTTTTGATGAAGCTTTGAAGTTTTCTTGTGGACAGTTTCCCAGCTCTCACTCTTTTCCTGCTCAACCTGCACAGGTTCCATCGAGACTAGTTAATACAACCATCAAGTTTACAAAATAAGTGTGACTTCTAGCCATGTTGAACCTTTTCATTCCCATGAATTTGGCCATAATAATCCTGCCTACTCATTTCATATCCTTGATGGAGGTTGGGATGATCCTCCTGCCTACCACCTTCATATCTTTCATGGTGCTGGTCATAATCATCCTGCAATTACGATGAATTAATAGCTGAAAAAATCATAACAGAAGAGCGTTGGTCTTTTGTGAAATTAACCAACAGGATCCCCTAATTTGGTCATTCGTGGGAAAAAAGTTAACAAGCTGCTAAATGCACAGCATGTAGATTTATAAATCACTAAAGATTTCCCATCGGAATATTTCATACCCCATCAGAAATCTCCATGTCTGTGTCATATGCTACCATTACTCAAACATAAATTAGAGGAAGGCATAAACTAGTGAGTAAAACTACTTGACTAATGGTACAAACACAGGTTATGAGAACTATAACTAGTGTATAGTTATAACACTTGTGGTCTAGTGGCATTGTAGTGAGGTTTCATCAAATCGCCCAACATGGTCACCGAATTTGTATTTGAAACTATTTTGGTCATCAAAGACTAGTTATATTTTTGGCTTGAGAATATGATGGAATAAAGAAAAATGGCTCATTAAACTCTCTGCGCTTTTTCATTATAAAACATGAGTCCGTCCATGCAATTTTTGCCGCGATTTTCATTATAGATCATCCAGAAATAGTCTATGTGTGCTTTGGTACAGAGGTAAGGTTGCGTACATCCAATCCCCCCTTAGCCCACCGTAGGTGGGAGCCTTTGCGGCACTGGGGTAATGTTGTTATTATTGTTGTTGTAGTAATAGTTAAATACTCCCTCTGTATTTTAAAGTCTGCTACACTTTCTTTTTGGGATGTATTTAACAGTTTGCTACACTTTCCCTTTTTAGGATCCTTTAAAAATACTCAGAGCCCATTTAATAATAGAGATATTTTCCGATTTTCTTTTTTGTTTTCCGTTCTCCAGTTTACTGTTTTAATTTTTCAATTTTTCTATCTCCAATTTTCTGTTTTCATTTTCCGGTTTTCCATTTCCAAATATGAAAACATGTTCATCAAATCGCCTAGTCCTCAACAAGAACAGGCGGAGACCACCAGATCATTGACTAGACCGGCCTGAGACAGCTCCATCATCAACCGGACCGGTCAGAGACCGGTGGGTCATTGACCGGACCGGATAGAGACCGTCGGGTCATTCATCGGACTGGAACAGGACTGCTCGGCTGTCGATCGGACCAGACATGTACTGTCGGGTCATCGATCGATTAGGGTCCGCCGGATCGTTGATCAAACCGAACAAAAACTGTCGGGGCCTTGACTGTACCGGTACCAATGGGTCTTGATCGGATCGGACCGGACAAGAACTGTCGGGTTATTGAACGGTCTGGACCGCTGAGTCATCCACCACACAGGACAGGAAACGCCGATCGTTGATCGGACTGGACTGGACCGGAAATGAGACCGGAGCAGGACCAGATCTACCACTAAGCGTAGGTATGCAAATTAATTGAAGGAGTAGTGCAACATCCGCGTATTTCAAATTTGGAGAACCGCTAAAACTCACTTCTCCAATTCATTAAGGAAAACAGAGACATATCTCATGTTTTGGTTTTGGAAAATGATTTGGTAAACACATTTTCCTGTTTTCTTTTCTCCACTTTTCTAGTAACTTTTTAGGTAAACACGTTTTCAGTTTTACTTTTTTCAGTTTTTCTATTTAGAGAATAACAACATGACAGTCTTATTTGGAATTCCATAATGTTTTACTCCTATTTTCGGAATTTTGCATGTATAGATATATCTAAAAGACTTAGAGAATTATATACATAGATACATACATACATATATATATATATATATATATATGTATGTATGTATACATACATATGTGTGTACATGTGTGTGTGTGTATAACCTGAGAGAATTGTATAAATAGGTTTGGTCCAAATAAAATAAGGATACATGTGTTGGGCTGTAGGCTTCGGCCCATTCAGATCTAGGAGCCAAATAAACAAAGAGCAGCCCTAGTTGGGCCTGTTTCTTTGGTGGCAATCAGGCCCAGAACCTTATTAAGTGTTTTACCCTAATTGTTTGCCTATATATATTGACTCATGTACTTGTAAACTAAGACTTGTATCATTCATCATCTCAATAAGAAAGAAAACCCTAGTTGCCCCCGTGGATTAGGTCAGTAACACTTACTGGCTGAACCACGTTATATTTGTGTGCCGTTCTTCTCGTTCTTTTCTAGTTTTTCAGATTTGTGTGTGTGAGATCTAACCCTAACAACTGGTATCAGAGCAAGGTTAGCCACCACCACATATTTGACCACCACCACTGCTGCCACCCTGCGTCTTCAGCCTCCTCGTGCCACCAACAGTGCGCTGCCGCAGAAGAATATAGCCAGCAGATTGTGAAGGACTGGGACAATGGCAGATGACGGGAAAAAACAAAGTCGAGAAGTTTGATGGACAATATTTTGGATGGTGGAAGATGCAAATTGAGGATTTGTTGAAGGATTTGGATCAAGCCTTGACAGGGAAAAGACCAGAAAAGATGAGTGATGATGAATGGGCTGCTCTAGACAGGAAAGCTTTGGCTGTTATCAGATTTACCCTAGCCAAAGTGTGGCGTTTAACATCTTGAAGGAGACTACTGCATGTGGTTTGATGAAGGCTTTGTCAAACATGTATGAGAAACCATCGGCATCAAACAAGGTATTTCTTATAAGACAGCTAGTAAACACCAGAATGAAAGAAGGTGCATCCGTTACCTCACACATTAATGAGTTTAATACTATCATATCCTGTTTACTATCTGTTGATATTAAGTTTGAAGATGAAGTTCAAGCTTTATTCCTGTTATCCTCATTACCAGAAAGTTGGTCAGCAACAGTCACTGCGATTAGCGGTTCAACTGGAACCTCTAAACTCACATTTGAGGGCATTCGTGACATTATCCTAGGAGAGGATATAAGGAGGAGTTTTGGAGAATCTTCTAGTGCTTTGTTAAGTACTGAAGGGAGAGGTAGAAAGAAAGAGAAGGGAAATGGCAGAGGTAGATCAAAGTCTAGAAAAGATATTCAATGCTGGAACTGCAAAGAAATTGGGCATTTCAGAAATCAATGCCCTAAATCATCAGAAAGGAAGGAAGTAAATTCAGATGATGCTCTTATCTGTTGTGTTGAAAACTCAATAGAAACGTGGATTATGGATTCTGGTGCATCATTTCATGCTACTTTCAGCATGAAGGCGATGAAGAATCTACGGACAGGTAATTTTGGTAAAGTTCGTTTGGCTAATAACGACTCTCTTGACATCACAAGGATGGGTGACATAGACTTAAAGACTTCATTAGGCACCACTTGGACATTGAAAGACGTTCGGGTCATTCCAAGCCTTAAGAAGATGCTGATTTCTATCGGGCAGTTGGATGATCAGGGATTTGATGTTACTTTTGGTGAAGGACAATGGAAAGTTGTCAAGGGGAATCTTGTAATCACCAGAGGCAAAAAAAGGGGTACTTTATATATGGTTGAAGCTCCTGATGATGAGATGAATGCAGTGACCAGCGGGCTGAATCCATCCAGTTTGTGGCATCAACGGCTAGGCCACATGAGTGAAAAGGGAATGAAGATGCTCGTTCCAAGGGGAAACTTCCAGATTTGAAAAAGGTGGATTCTGAGTTCTGTGAGCCTTGTGTACTTGGCAAGAAAAAGAAGATTTCTTTTGTGAAGACAGGTCAGACACCGAAAACTCATAAGCTAGAGCTGCTTCACACGGATGTGTTTGGGCCAACGCCAGTCTCTTCCCCGGGAGGATCAAGCTACTATGTGACCTTCATTGATGACTCAACACGCAAGGTATGGGTCTACTTTCTTAAAAATAAGTTTGAAGTTTTCAATATTTTTAAGAAGTGGAAAACTGTTGTTGAATTGGAAACTAATCTGAAGGTAAAGAGCTTGAAATCGGACAATGGTGGTGAATACATTAGCACGGAGTTTATTGATTACTGTGTTGAACATGGCATTCGGATGATAAAGACGGTTCCAGGCACTCCTCAACAGAACGGACTGGCAGAAAGGATGAACAGAACTTTGAATGAGAGGGCTGTAGGCTTCGGCTTATTCAGATCTGGGAGCCAAATAAACAAAGAGCGGCAGCCTGCTCTAGTTAAATGTGCAGGCAGCCCTAGTTGGGCCTGTTTCTTTGGTGGCAGTCAGGCCCAGAACCTTATTAAGTGTTTTACCCTAATTGTTTGCCTATATATATTGACTCCTGTACTTGTAAACTAAGACTTGTATCATTCATCATCTCAATAAGAAAGAAAACCCTAGTTGCCCCCGTGGATTAGGTCAGTAACACTTACTGGCTGAACCACGTTATATTTGTGTGCCGTTCTTCTCGTTCTTTTCTAGTTTTTCAGATTCGTGTGTGTGAGATCTAACCCTAACAACATGCTCATGTAAGACATGAGATATACTAGATGCACCGTAGAATAGGAAAGCAGTAATTAAGAAGTAATTGATGTGAAAGGCTCATTAGTGAGAAGAAAAAGTGTTAGGATCGTATTCCGTCTCCGGCTCAAGTCTATTCCACCATACTCACATACACCACTCTAAGGGAGGCTATAGCACACCTATTCTCTTCACTCTCTTCTTCTAACCACAAAGGAACTCTCAAGCAAGGAGGAAGAAGGAAGACTGCTCTCAAATGTTCTGCAGGCTTTTGAAGATAATGGTGAAATAGGATTTTGAAGGAGAAAATTCTGAAATAGGATTAAACGTTTCTGAACTCCAAAATATGAGTACTATATTTTATTCCCTAAATACAAGTAATTACTGTCAAGTTTGGAAAATATTGTCATGTTTAAAGTCTGGTAATGTTAAAGTATGTCAGTAATTACTCTTATTTAGGTAATAAAAATATGAAAGTTCTATTTTGGAATTTACAAACGGTTTTACTCTTATTGAGGGTGATTTCTTGTTTTGAAATTATTTCACACGTTAAACGAGTGAATAGGAAAGAGAAATTTTTTAATTTTTAAAAGGGCTTAATTGCAGAGCAAACCGGAGGGGGTGGATTTATAGAGCAAAAAGAAGGCTTAAGCACAAAGCAATTCAACGGAAAGAGGCGAAGTTATAGTGCAAGATAGGTGAACTTATATGCATTCACAAATGACCTCAAATTTTCGCACTAATTTCGTCTCAAAGTGCACTGTTAAAAGCTTAAAAACAAAACTAAGAGCGTACATTCATCTTTCTATTTCTCTTGCTGCATAAAACAAACCTTATTATGCAGTTAAACATGCGGAGTTTGAAATATTACACCCTTTGTTCAACATCATATTTTGCATTGTCTAATTGCATAATGTAGAATTCTAATTTCAGACCTTCGCGCACTACAATAGTCACAACATCCAGTGTATCTTTCTATGCAATTCTTGTTCAAAATAAACTAGGGGTGGGCATTTCGGTTTTCGGTTCGGTTTTCTTCGGTTTCGGTTCGGTTTCGGTTTAATCGGTTTGATGGAAAATGTACCAAATACAAACCGATTAAGTTTTGGTTTGGTTTCGGTTTGGTATTGTTCGGTTCGGTTTGGAGTTCGATTTACCAAAGTATTAAGGTTTGGATTGAAATAAAAAAAAAATAACTCAAAATAATGAACCAAGAAGCGATAGTAATGAACCAAATATAATGTTAGATATCAATTTGCAAACAGTAACAAAACACATATGAACAAAAAATATATAAGCATGACACATTTGTAAGCAAAAATAACGGGAATGAATCAAATTATATATAAAGCCGAAACAAAAACAAAACTGGTGCTTGTAAGTAATGAAGCAATTATATATAGTAGTAGTAGATAATAAATTATAGTTGAATACTATCTACTTAAACCACTATAATTGTTATACTTGTGAATACAACTCTTGTAGTAAACTCTAGTCCTTGACACTAAAATTAAAGAATTAAAGCTTCAAAAAGATTAACATCAATCAAATTAATGAGAGGAATCTTATATTTTGGTTTGGTTTAGTTTCGTGCAAGTTAGTTTTGATTTGTTATTTTAAAAAAATAAGAAATTATTTCATTTTTAGATTAGTTCGGTTTTATTCGGTTTTATGATTTCGATTTGGTTTGGTTCGGTTTAATACGGGTTGGGAGGAATACTACCAAACTCAAACCAAATTACAAATGGATCGGTTTTGGTTTGGTTTAATTCGGTTTGGTTCGGTTCGGTCAAACCGAACCGTTATGCCCACCCCTAAAATAAACTATCATTATGCAAAGTGTTTTGTCCAATTACACTTCATTGTGTTAAGTTTAGACTAGCATGCACTACATAAGCCACTATATGAACTATACAATATGTTTCTATGCAGCATTCGTGCACTACATCAACAATTTTATGCAATATCCGTTTCGGTGCAAAATAACTTATTAATCGAGCTCTGGTATAAAAATACGAAAGCTTAAATTGTTGAAGCAAATGGAGAAGACAATCAAAGAAGACACTGTTAATGCAGAGAGTAGAGCTAATAAGGAGAGCATATTCAATGTAAAATTGAAAAGACAATATGCTAATGAAATATAGGAATTCAATGATAGGGCCATGGGCTGTGGAGAATAATAATAATAATAATAATAATAATAATAATAATAATGGTAGATTGATATTAAAAAAGTATGGTATTGTATAAATAAGTATCCTGGGCCATGTCATATAATTTGGGCTGGCCCGTTAGAATATAATTACTATATAGGAGTCGGAAGGGGGGAAAGAAGGAGGAGGAGAACTTGGAATAGGACCGGGACTTGGGAGAGACGAGGCACTCTCGAACTTGCCTCATCTGTATCGTTTCCTTTCAGTTTCTACAATTTCAGTTTTAATATCAAACAATTCATCCCCAGATTTCTATGTACCTATCATTCAATTAATACTCATGGAAAAAATGAAATGAAATGAAATGCTCAATCCACCCTTAGTGCAAACTTAATATTGCTTAAGATCTAAGAGTGTAGATTGTTTCTCATTTCTTATAGAAAAAAAAACATGAGATACTCCTTAAAGGAAATAAATTGTTTCTTCAGTTATATCATTGTAATTAAGAAAAAATTATTTGTAATTAATAGATAATTATTTAGAATCTTACCTTATAGAATATGTCTCTTATTGTATAAAGACCAGAACTTATTGATGGAATAGATGTACAATCTTAAAACTCCCCTTTTCTCTAAATTTTATTATTTCTCACTTGAAATAGCTCCATCTGAGTTTATATATTAACATTTAACATCTTGTGCAATGCATGGGTGAGATACTAGTTCAGTCTTAAAACTCTCATTCTCTCTAAATTTTATTATTTCACACTTGAACCAAATGCTATATATACACACACATATATCGGAAAATGATCATTTGAAGAAGACCTAAATTGCAACTTCGCAGGCCTTTTTCATTTTAGCCATTTAATCACTTAATTAGTTTAATGGTGTTATTTTAACAGTTAGATTTAGGATTTGTAAAATATAGACACCATTAATTCACTTTTTCATATTTAATGCTAATCTAACATTTTTAAGAATAACTCATTGATAAAACTAGATTTTCCGTAATAAAATTTAATTATTAACATGATCGATCTAATTAACAATTAAAACTAAAACTTAAAATGAATTACTTGAGAAATTTGGACCATTGAATTCATCTGTAGCTTAAACTGAAAGAGGCCTGCGTCTTCTTTTTTCATGTTCACACATATTTATATATACAGTGTTTTGTTCCAATATAAAGTGGTCTACCCATGAGAATTGCGGACGTTCACTTTTGATCATCTGAAGTGCACTATTATATCTAGATGATTTTCGTCATTCACTTTTGGTCATCCACGATACACTTTGGCACACAGGATGTCCGCTTTTTGCAACAAAAAAAAAACTTTGATTTATTTACAAAAATGTTACAGCGTTTTAATCAATTTTCATTTTTTTTGACATATTTAGGGCTATTAGATCTTAGATTCGATGCACCGGATATATTCCTACTTTTCATGGGAAGGGGTGTTTTTATTTGATCCATTAGAGAGAGAAAAGTTCATTCCGGACTAGAATGTGCAGCTGGCCGTCGCCTTTTCAGATGATTTGGGTGGAATTTTTTTATGAAATGTTTTTAGTATGATTTTCATGAAGGGTAGATTATGTCCCTAAGAATTCAACATAAAATTTAATTGGAAAGAATGTCATATGAATTTCTTAAAATAACTGCATTTTATACGTATATTTTGACATAGTTATCTTCGAATAATATTTGACTACCATGTCATTGATCTACATATCAGATAAGCTTAAACAATAAGAAATCATCATTTACAAACAAGATGATGCGAATCACACAGTGAAGAGCCAATTATGCTAAGCATGAATACCTGTGCTGGAAATCCTTGCATACGGTCACTGTTAATCTCGTCCCCTGATACCACCTGCGCAAGTTAGGACCCATAAGAAAACATCAGAGAGATGAGATCAGAAACAGTGGAGCAGAACTAACCTGCGCCCAAGTGGATCTGGATCGCTCGTCGCAAGTGTGGGATGAGTTGCTACCATCGCGTCTGTCCTCATCTTCGTTGCCTAAGGCTATATTAATTAAACCCTTCACTAGGCCTTCCATTGCTATGTAGCGGAGATATTTAACAAGAAGAGCAAAGATTTCGGATATTGATCGATCGAAGAATGCATACAAATTGCGTGCAGTTGAAAATGGTTGCCAATCGTCGCATAGAAAACAGGTAGGTACTGACAGTTGGTATTAATTAGACAATTTTTCAATCAATCAATTTTCCGGTTTTTACAAGAATATTAGTAAAATAAAATATATTTATATTACTCCCTCCGTCCTCTTTTAAATGTCTAGGAAGAGGGTGACACAAGTTTTATGAAAAGTGAGTTTGTGTGGTTAATAGTAATTGATAAAGTAAGAATAAAGTAAGAATGATTTTGAGCCACACAAACTTTACCAAATAAGGTATGAGACAACTAAATAGGGACATCCTAATATAGTAAAATGGGACATTTAAAGGGGGACGAAGGGAGTATTCATTACTACAATGTGGTGTTGTGGTAATTTAAGCTCAAATTTTGAATATGAATTACTATTACTTCATTACTACTATAATCATTAGTCATATTTTTGTAAATCATTTTTATTTTGATCATATTTAAGTAATTATTTTATCAATTTTTGGCCTCTCTTATTTTTCTCTTTCATCTTGTCAACAAATTTCTATCACATAAACTTTTCTTGAGTATTCTATTCCATTTTTCGGTCAAAATTGTCAAATTATTAAGGAATGAAGGAAGTATAATTAAAACTCGCTCCAATAGATTTAGCACCTTTTTCAAAAGACTTTGACATTTTTTCTTTATAATAAATAATTTTATTATTTTCACCTCTAACAATGATGAGATATGCAATTTTTACTTTTCTTATTTCACACAATAAAACTTCTGTAAATTCCCATTGGATGAAGATAATAATTGATAGAGTATATGAGTTCAGACCCCATTACCCACATACTCAGAAGAATAAGAGACACAACTGTCACTCAGCGGGCCCTCCGTCAGTCAGATAGCCCTCCATCAGCCAGAAAGATGTCAACTCAGAATATGATCCAGAAGTCAGGAGAATCGGGTGTCCCCGTCGGCCGGGTCTCCATCAGCCATGTCTCCGTCGGCCACAAAGAGTTCATAGAACCGGATTCCATACTTAGCCAATTTACATACCTTGTATTCAGCCCAGTAGAGGCCCATTGTAAACGGGCCTCCCAAGCTCAAGACTTGGGAGCCCGCCCACATTTTCTTTATAAATACTTCCCTTTGGATAGTTGTAGTGGGTTCACAAATCATTTAATATAGCATTCGTTGCACTTCTCTCTCTAGCTCTCACTTCTCTCTAAGAGGACATACATACCCTATCATTTGGTGCTTTCATTGAGAGCTAGAACAATCAAGCTAGCATCCTTCGTCGCTACCAAGAACAGTTAACTGACAATGGGAAGAGCAAGGTCAAACCGCAACATCATCGGCAAGGCGATCCCTGAAACTCAGGAGGATCGTGAGCGCTCCGGCGATGCTACCGCCGATAAGGTCACAGACGAGGAGGTCTTCCAAGAGACCATCGACCCCACAACTGACCTCCGCAACCAGCTCAACGGCAATGCTCAAGATGCCCGCATCGGCCTTGAGAAGAAACGCATGGAGAGGGGAGACCATGCGTCGGGGCAACAGACTACTCCCGTTGTTGACCCTCAGCTCCAGGCCGTTGTATCGACCATCGTAGCCACCTTGGCTCAGAACCACACCGTCCTCAACGCACTCATGCCTAGGATAGGGGAGAACACTACTCCACCACCTCCACCGCCCCAACCGTTAGTCATGAAGGTAGGCAACGACAAGGGGGTGGAGGCCCAGGACACGTCGTCATCTCATTCTCATCCTGCTTCCCTTCTTCGAGCTAGACCGACCCTAGCGCGTGGAAAAGTCTCGACCTTCAATAGGCTAGGTGACACGTACCGTCGGCAAGTATCGGAGAGGATGACAGGATGGATTGGTGGACGTGAGCCTAGCTCACCAAGGGAAAGCTTGGGGTCCGTATCCCGGACAGCGGATCGGTCTCGCCTGGACAAAGGCAAAGGAAAGTTGCACAAGGGTGACGCCAATATCACATATATAAAACTCATAATTTTTAATTATCTTTCATATGACACCAATATCACATATATAAAGTTTTTTTTAAAACTTCGAATTGTTGGAGTTTTTGGACCCAAATTTTTCCTTAAATAGATCCAAGTACTAAAATTCAGATCACATGATTTTTTACACTTAGTCATTGTTAGAACCGGGGGTAATAAAAATATAAAATAAGGGTGTATAAATATGACTTGACCGGATATCACTTCTAGTCACGTATAAAATACGTTTTTCTAAAAGTTTACTATCTACCCTTATCACAGTAACCGAGTTGCAAGATAGAACTTTTGGGATAAAAATACAATGTACAAGTGTATTTTAGCTACTAATAAAATAACACTTAACAAGTGATTTGTATATAAAGTAGTCTAAATATTAATCACTATCAATGCACATAATAGGATAAATATAGCAATAGTTTTTTATTTTGGGACAAGAAAGAAAAGCTCGAACTATATCCCATATTCAACATCCCGTATATATAAACACAAGGAGACAATTGTACATATGAATCCATATGACTCCTCGGAAACATGGTGATGCTTTGAAAGGACACATCTTTTGATAAAGAAAATCAAAACTGTATTTTGATCCATGTACATACGTGTACAATAAGGAGTATGACCAGGTCATATTGAAAAGTCATGTACTTTTCCAATTTTGTAAAACAAAATTTGTGCGTACATGAATATTAAGTCAAAGCCATCATTTTCCATCTATTATAATTATTCAATGACGTAAATCATTTACTTATTCATAACGAAAGTAATGCTTACGTCCATTTCATAATAATTATAATTATATTCATCCTTAAATATTATTTTAATTAAACTTCTCAACACCAAATCAAAATAATATTGTTCAGGATCAATGTTGAATATTTGAGCCATATTTCACAATAAATTTCCAACAAGTCACTCACGACAATATTTGTAAATTAAATCCTTAAGATTATTATTATAATCAATTTTATTCAAATAATTTTTACGAATTAGTATGATTTAAAAACTCAAACATTCCCAATGTAAATTAAATAAATTTGGAGTTTAGTTTTTTTATTATTACACTAAGCCTATTTTTGAAAAAAATAATTGAAAGATGTAAAAACATTAATTGTGAGATCTTGATTTTATCACTTCAATTTCAATTTTATCACTCGAATCTACTTAATAAAATTAAGATCCTAAAGGTTTTTTTAAAACTTTATATGTACAATATTGATGTCATATGAAAAGTTATAAAAAGTTAAGATTTTTGATATATTTTTTTGTAAACAATGAAAAACAAGTGAAAAAGTTATTAAGCTTCAAAAAAGAAAAACAATTAATTTAGAGTGAGACAAATCATTTTCTAAAATTTACTCTTTTTTGGAATGGAAACATACTCTTGTTTCTAAAACTTCTCTAATAATTTTGACCTGCAGTAAACGAAGCCGCTGCCCAAGCTTCCGACAGCTTTCATTCCCAGCAAGTGGACAGCTTTGCCTGGGACTGCGAGGCTTCAACCAAGAGAAAAGGGGCGACGTGGCCCTTGACCAGCCGTCTTTGCTTCGCCTGGAGAAGGGAGAACCCGGTTCTGGGTACCGCTAGACAGAAAGGGAATGTCCTCGAAGGTCATACCTGACGGGTCTCCACGGTCGTCGATGGGGAAGAAGGAACGACCTCCGTCCAGGGCTGTCTCCGAACAGAGACGAGCTAGCTGCGGCGGAGTCTGGCGACGCCGTAACTGAGGAGGAAAGTGTGCGGCGATGCTGCGACTTGCTGGCTAGCAAGGTGTGAGAGCCTGCTGCAAGCGGCGTCCGGCGGCGCGTCTGGGTAAAGGAAAGAACGGAGAGGGGAGCTGTTGTGACGAAGGTGGAGGCCATAGCGAGTTGCTGTTTCCCCAGTCCACCGAGATCTGGTTTCTGGCTCTCTGCTTCCTTGAATGATTTGGTCCCAAAACTGGAGTGGCGGCTGTGACTCAACGAGCGAAGACCTCCTGCTAACAGTGTGGCGCCATGAACAATGACAGCGGCTCCGACCTGGAAACTGGTGGGGAGCTTCTCCGGTCATGGCACTATGGCAGGTGGCTAGGATATCTCAGCTTTAGCTGTGGGAAATCCCCAGATCCCAAATTCAAGTTTCTTCGTTCTTTGTTCTTCCTTGAATTTGTCAGATTTCGACCTATTTTTTGTACTTCCTATGAATAATTTTGGTGGTTTTTGGGGAGGGATCTCACTTGATTGTGTTCAAATCTCTCTATGAGAACAACATTTGATGAGGGGAAAAATAATTTTAATATCCCAAACTTTGAAGGGGTGTGAGATAAGTACTCCAAACTTGCAAATGTGATATATATATATATATATATATATATATATATATATATATATATATATATATATATATATATATATATCTCAAACTTTATATAAAAAGTTATATTAGCACCATGGTCACATATTTGTTTACAAATATAATTTTATGGTGTTAACTACATAATTTAAAATACACAAAACCTTTATAAGGATGCAATTCAAATTAAACTAAACCGGATGTAATATTATTATTTCACAAATAAAATTTTAGGATGTTAACTGCATTCTAACGATGCTTAGATTATTTTAAATTATGTAATTTTTCCAATAAGTTTTATTTGTAAAAAACATACGATCATGATGTGAAAATAACTTTTTATATAAAGTTCGAGGTATATATATTACATATGCAAGTTTGGTGTACTTATCTCACATCCTATTAAAGTTTGAGACATTTAAATCATTTTCCCCTTTTAATCACGTTTAAGCTTGTATAGCGTAAGAGATACTTTCACTTGAACTCATTTTAGTCTCAAATCAGATTGTATTGTATCCGACTTAGATATTAGTAACAATGTACTAAACTAGATCTAATCAGACCAGAATTGAACAAATCTGAATGCTAATACTTTTTAGGATTATCTAAAAAAGATTTTTTTTGCTTTGGAACTCGATAAATTATATTTTGGTTATTTTGTTTTACTTTTCTAATGTACTTATGCCAAACATGTAGCTTTTGACTACTTATGTGCAGGCTTATATAGTTGAATAAGTAAAATTTCTAATACTAGTGTTGAGGTTTATTCCGTCAACCCAAAAGGTCCAACACGTTCCTTTGGATCTCGAGTGGATAGTTTTAGTGAGTTAAGATATTAGACAAGCTAAAATGGGTCAAATATTCCATAGTAATTGAGTTGTATCTTATGAAATGATAATAAGGGTCTGTTGAGTTTAGTCCAACATAAACTAATAGATATAGATATAATATGTATGAAATGCTCTGTTTTTATGTGAAAACCCGGAAAGGAAGAAAACCACGAGACTTTTTAGGCTAATGTCCAAACCCTCTCTTTCTCATTTACACTCTCTTCACCATTTACATAGTACAAGCTTTTGAGCTCCATAAATGGAGGTTGAATAACTCTAAGAAGAAGCAGGGAAGAAGAAGCCATTTGCTCCCAGGAGAGAAGAGCCTAAAAGAAGAGATCCCTTTAAATGGAAGTCTAGCTTCCTATTTATAGAAGGGGGGGGGGGGGGGTTCTAGCCTAATGGGCCGGAAGGCCTTAACGGGCCGAAATGGGCCGGGTAGGCCTAAATGGGTCTCGCCGACTGGGTTTCGTACTGGGGTGATGTCTTGGACCTCTGAAGAGTAACAGGCCGGGATAATATCCCCCAACAGGGACCGTATACAACACACTTCAATCATAAGCCCTGAGGCCGTTCGTCTATTGCTATGCTAAGAGCTGATACAATTACTGCTAAGAGTGCTAAGTTGACAATCCCTTACAATGAAATAAATGTCCCTAGTTATACTACCAAGGGGTACGTAGTACTACTGACGTGGAGGATTGTGAATGACTAGCTCCCAACCACCAAATCTACTACATTAAATGCGATTCTCACCAGTATTTTGGTTTCCCGCCATAATCACGGATGAGTGTCCTGATGAGCCTAAATGGAGATCCTTGTTGGGCCAAGGATGTGCCTCCGAACGTATTCGATGGGATCTGGACGAGCGTCCACGGATGCAACCAACCCTGGGTTCTGTAAAAAGGGTTTGGATACGTACGGCGTGTGAAAGTCCTTTGGCCGAGGGCCCTAGGACGTTATCCGGCTCTAATTGGGCAAAGGCCTCTGAAGCTGAGCGTCTGCTAATATGGGCTCAGATGGCCCCAATGCTCAGTGGGTAATGGGTCGACCTGCTATCGGGCCTATTAGCCCAACAACTAATAAACTTATTACTACTTCCGTTCTTAAATAAATGCAACATTTTGACTTTTACACTATTCACATGTTCTACTTTGACTACATTTTATTTATTAATGTAATAATATTATTTTATGAAAAAAATAGTGTTAAACTTGTCTCATTGTAAATTTTCATAATCTATTTTTTTTTTAATTTTTTACCAATACAAAATCATTTATATTAATGGTCAAAGTTGTGTCTCGACAAGTGTGAAATGTTGACCGTTGCATTTATATAAGAACGGAGGAAGTATTAAGGTGTCGGTAAAGAAATAATTTTCTTCCTTCTTTCTTTATTCCTTCTCCGGCGATAATAGCTATACATTTCTTTTTTTTCCTCTTCTTTCTTTCTACAAGTTTTAGCCTCTGAAAGTAGCTATGCATTTTCAAGTTTTAGCTATACATTTATTTGTACACGTACACACACAAAGATATAGTTGGAGATTAGCAGGCGTGCAAGGAAGTAGAAGTAAGCAGCCAAAGCCAAGTAGAAGTACACAGAACTATCTTGATTTTTATTTCTGTAAATACTTTCAAAGGTGGAGGACCCCGTCTTTTAAACCCCAGTCATCGCTCATGCTGATTTCACATTAAGTCATATATGTTATATCTATGACCACACATTAAGTCATATACATGCTTTTATTTAAACTGAATTCGACCCATATACATTCAAACAATTCAGGTAAGATAAGACTAGATTAAAAGAATAGTAAATACTCATTTATCGACTGTTCACTAGATCAAACTTTAACAGACTTACCAATTTTTTCTTTTTTGAAATTTTGCATACGTAATTTTACAAAAAATCGAAGTACAAATGAAAAGGTTATAACATTTTATTTAAAAAAAGACCTATTTGCCACATGGCAGCAAATTATTTGATGGAGAGTTAATTTAAAATTGTGAGGAGGCAGGCCACGTTTGATCTTGATATCCGCTGCTGTTCGGCCACTTCATCCGTGATTTAGTAATTTGATACCCTTCCGTCCCTTAAAACTTTTCCAACTTTTTTTTGAATGTCCCACTAACTTTGCCACATTCCCTTTTGAGTAAAAAATTTGTGGTTTCAGTTAATTCTCTCTCCTCTGCACAAATATCTATCACACAGTTTTTACTTTATTAATCCCCGTGTCGGTCAAATTTGGCAAAGTTTTAAGGGACGGAGGGAGTAAGTTCAAGGTGACAATTCCGGTACTCATTTAAAAAATGGGGTACCGTACCTACCACTCACTTGATTGGTTCAAATCATTACATCATTTTTAATTTAGATTTAAATAATTCAACTACATAATTCTGATTGGTCCATGTAGACAAAGATATGGTACCTTAATGGTACCATAGAATCTACCTAATTTCAAAGGTCAATCTTGTCATGCTGTGAAACAAATTTTAAGTATTTACTTAAAATTGATCGCAAATAATAATATGTGAGAATATTGGGTACAATCTTTAAATATGAATCCTCTGATTCTTCACTTGCAATTTGAAATAAATATAATTAAAGAAATTAATTCAAAATTAAATCTTTAATCCTTCAAACGTTCGAACGTTCTTCAGATCTTCAAATCTTTGTTCTTGAGATCTTCGAATCTTCGAATCTTCGTTCTTCGGATCTTCAAATCTTCTTGAATTAAGAATTCAACTTGAAGGGCCTCCGGTTTTCAAATGGTTTGATCTTCAACAAAAGGGCCGTTTTATGGCTTGATCTTTTGTTTAAGGGCCTCCCGGAATATATGGCTTGATATTCAATTAAATTTCAATTCAATCTTCATATGAGTGATAGAGTATATCTAGAGAGAAGTGAGAGCTAGAGAGAGAAGTGCAATAATATGCTTCAATAGAATGATTTCGTAACCCCTATAACTACTCCCAAGGGGAGTATTTATAGAGAAAATTAGGGTTGGGCTCCCAAACCTTGGGCTTGGGAGGCCCATTTACAACTGGACCGCTACTGGGCCGAATACAAAGCCACTAATGGGCTGTACAAGTGAGTAAGTGTAGGATCCGATTCTGGGAGGTCCTCGTGGCCGACGAGTTCCTGGCCGACGAGGGCACGGCCGACGAGGGCACGGCCGACGGGGGCACCCGAGTTCCTTGGACTCGGGATCATAATCCGAGTTGGCTTCCTCTCGGCCGACGAGGGCGTTTGGCCGACGAGGGCGCCACTCTGTCTTGTGCTCTGTTCTTCCGAGTATGTGGGTCCTGGGGCTCAGACCCATATACTCCATCAGGAGTCCCCCACTCTCTAAGCTGAGACGTAGACGAAGTGAAGGAGAGTAGATTTCTGTGCTTTGTTGCTTTTGGCCGACGCGGGCATTTCCAGGCCGTTAGCCGTTGTGGTGTTGGCGTTGTTTCCTCTCTGGTGATCCTATTCTGTGCTTTGGCCGTTACCTGTTCCTTGCTGTGGGCGGGGAGGCCGTCATTTCCTTAATGTGTTTTGGGACGATGAGTGTCCTTCCTTCAATGGTGGCCGTTGAGGGCGCGCTTTCCCTTTCCTGGCCGTTGGTGTTTGAAGTTTACGTTTGGGCCGGTGAGGCCGTTGAGGTTGTTCCTTTGTGTTTTTGGCCGAAGAGCCCGTCAAGATTAATTGTTGGCGGAGGACGATGAGTGTCCTTGCCTCTAGTGGCTTGTTGGCCGTTGCTAGTGACGTTATGGGCCTTTGGCCGATGAGGTTCTGTTGTGCTGTATGGATGATGTGGCCATGTTTTGTGGTTACCTTGTTTATACCTTTGTTTCGTTGAGGCCGGTCTAGTCCCCCAGTCCCCCACTGCTTCAGGCCGAAGAGAGTGAGGGGTGAAGGAGTTGCCTGAGTCCTTGGCCGAAGCGGTCTCGCCGTAGTCCCCCTGAATCCAACTCTCATGGCGATTTTCTGGCCAAGGTAACCCTGTGGGAGAACCCTTGTGCGCAGATCGCTTGTAGAGAGTTATCATCAAGGGTTATTACGAGGAGCCGAAGGCTGTGGGCTATTTGTTCCCTTTGTTCTGTGGCTGTTACGTACCTGGCCGTTGCCATCCTCTTATTGTTTGGCATTTGTGATATTGGTGAGCAAATGGGA